GCTACGACCTTTATTCTTTTAGGACGATATATTTAACATCAAATTCAGAGGAGCTTTGTGATTGACCACTAAAGCTAAAGCACTATAGCTACCTGATTTTGAGTGTGGCTCTAATGAAGAGACACGATTCAAGTTCAACACAAGACATTTAATAACGTGCTGGGTAGCCGAGCGTTATTAAAGGAACTCCAGCACAGAGAATCATGAACATTAAAACCTTTAAGATCAAGAGACAGATAGTTTGTTTTCTAACGCAGGTTGAGGCTGCCTTCAATAATACTCTGAACTTTACAAAATAAAGATAAAAAAGGATAAAGGAAAATCTATTGGATACCTTATCTCATTATTAGGAGGAAAGATTTCATAGGAGAATTTAAGGTAGCCTAGTTATCGATCGATGCTAACATTAGACCGTGGACAATGATTTAATCTGCCTATTTCCTTCTCGGTATGAGACACTGAAATATATTAAAAGAAGCAGTGTGTCGGATTGATTGCAACTAACTGAACACCGCTCGCGTCTGTATTTGACGACCCGGGACTGAAAACGAGTCGTGTGTCGGAGAAAAGTACGGTGGCCGTGAAACTTGCCAAAAACACTAAAATCTCTATCTATAGCGGCTTCATTCTGAATGAATAGAAACACAACCATTCTTATATTCAGGTGATTATACACAAATGAAAACATACGTATGAATATTATATTACATATCTCACAATAGATCCTGCTCAGTGTTAAAGACTGGAGCTTTAATGTGGGTAGCATTAATATTAGTATGTCTGTCAGGAAAGTCTCACAATTATGGTACAAATGCTACAGAAATACTTTATTTATTACTCTTAATAATGGACATTGAATCAACAGGAAGTTTCATACATACAGCATTATATAGTCGGCCACTTTAAAGCCAATTTATGAATAATTATTACTTGTGAATAAGTAAGAGAACGAAGGATGTCCTGATCAGGTTTTTTTTTTCCCCCTGATCCGATCTGAGTCATTTAATATAACGTATTTGTACACTACAAGAACAATTAAATAGCTCTTCAGGCAGAGAAAGAATTGGCTCCATCAAAACTGTTTAAAGCTTTAAGGTCACGAAGGCAGCAGGAGCCTTAATGTGTTTGTAAAGCTTATTGTCCAGAGCAGCAGCGGAGGGAGGAAACCTCAACCTCACCTGGGAGACGCAGACCGGAGCGGCCAGCCGGAAAGAAAACCTACTGGTTCGGATATAAAACTCAGAGGCAACGAGGCAAAACAGCAGCAGCTGTGAAACTGTGCTGAGCAGCAGAGATGATACAAGCTGATAAGTGCCACCACTCACAGCTCACAGCCTCCCGGCACTGAGGGGGATGATCTGGGTGTTTAAAGCCACAATGAACAGAAGAAAAAACACTTTTTATGAGATGATGTCCTACCGTGCAGCTGCTGCTTCACAAGAAATGCCAGAAACCTTGTAGATTGTGACTATAAAAACCCTGTTAGTTCCCTGTTGACCTCATCCTCTGGTACACTCAACCTTCTTCCCCCTTTTCTAAACAGACAGTTTTTATACAATAAAAGTCATAAAATGATGTGTTTCTGTGTGAACACAGCTAGCTTAACGCAAAGAAAACAGCTGAACACTAAAGAAAACAGCTGAACGCTAACAAAGAATGTCCTTTATTTAAGGATTAAAAAATGCCTAAAGGGTTTGGGTTATGTTGTTTAGATTCAACAAATACAATAACAGCAGAGAACAGCTGATAAACTGATCAATGAACCTAAACAGTGAACTCAATAACTGCAGGAAGTTTGTGTAAAACCAGAGATTTGGATGAATTTTGAGCATTTTATTTCTTGTGAATATTGATCGGAGATGAGTTTTCCTGATATTTTTAGGAACTTTTTATTCAATTCTCTGTCTGTATTATGTATTTTTTATTTATTTATTATTTTATTTTAAAATCATACTGACTTAATAAGCTTCTTTTTTGACAAATTCAGTGTTTTCTTCTCACTCGCGCTTAGCCTTTGTTCTACTATCACTTAAACTTAACAATTATATTTAGTTTTTAGCCAGATGTAGTCAAAATAAACTGCTTAACTAAAAACCAGTAACATATTATATACACATAGGAAGAAGATATATGAGGATATGACACATTAGTGAGTAGATTCATTCACTGCTGAACTAACTGAAGGTCAGTCGTCTATTAAAAACATTGCTTTACCTGTAATCTCCTTCCTCCCTCCAGCTTTTAATTCTCTCTGTACGCTCAGCGACCTGAGAATGTATTAACAGGCCAGACATTAATCACACTGACGTTATTCATATTCACCCTGCTCTCTGCTGGAACACTGCCCCGGTTAAGATTAATTCAGAAGGCTGAAGGAAACAGTGGAGAGTGGACAGACTTTCAAACACGACTGCAGCAGAGGATCCTGATTGTTTGCTTGTTTCTCTGTTTGCAGGATGAGAAGAACCAGGTGCTGACCACCAACATCTGGCTGCAGCTGGTGAGTGTTCGTCTTGAGTTGAAGAATCATCAGAACTCTCGCCCCTAAAACCAGTTCCTTTATTCCCATAGAGATGAAAGTTTTAGTTTGTTCTACATTCAGACTGAGGAAGCTCTTCATCTTTGCTTTTTTTCCCTCATCGGTCTTCTCGTTTCTTCAGCTAAAAAAACTTAAACTTTTATCTGTGAACATCCTGAAGCAGCTAGCAGAGGGCAGTCAGGACACTGCAGGTACTTTTGTTCTCAGAACGTTCATTTCCATATTCATTGTTTCCTGTCGGAGGTTTAAAGAAACTTTGGTAGAACTTATGCCATATTGTTGACTTCATTCATTTTATTCACTCTTAAAGTCCACATGAAACAGAAAACAGAGAGCAGGTTGCCTCAGCACATTTCCATATATTCCTGTAAAATCAATCAGTTAGAGAGAGACCCCCAGTCCAGCAGCTGTAGTGGATCCATTTTTTGGACTCTGTTGGACTGGGAGCTCTCAGTGAACAGCAGGTCCAGACCGGGACTGAATGCAGCATCTGATGCTGACGGAGGTCAGTTTGACTACAGGGAATAAAGGACTGAGGTGGGTTTATTCCTGCCAGCCCGGGGATAGGTCAGCTAACGTTAGCTGCACAAGTAAACGGCATCTAACTTTACTGTTGCCAACTATTAGCTTCTCGCAAGTCTCAGAGGTTGTGTTCACTGGGAGGCTGCTGAGCCCCGTTCGGTTGCTAACGCTAACTGCAGGTACATTAGCAGTTAGCGGAATAGAGGCAGAGCAGCCGGAGGACGTCAGAGGGAAAACCAGACAATATTCTCTCCATAAAATATGATCCAGTTTCACCCAAATCACTGATAAAGTTGTGAAGTCATAACGCTGTGATTCTGATCGGACCCCAGAACATTCTGTTTAATACATCCCTGAACCTTCACTCTGTATCACTAAAAGTTAAAAAGATTGATTGACGGGTGAATGAGGAAGACAAATTTATTGGATTTTGATAGGTCGCACTGCTCTCCTGGACTGCAGTGCAAATGAAACCCGTTACAGATGGCTCTATTTGTGCCGTTCAGGCCGCCAGGGACGGTGTGTAAACTGACTCTGGGGGGAAAGAAACCAAGTAAACATAGATAATAAATGGAAGCCCTGCAGCCACATCATCCCATCCTTCCTTCAGTTTGGCTTCCAGAGAGACCCTGGAGGAATCGCACAACTCCAGCTCTGCTACTTGACCCAGATAAGTTTGCTGTGATGGAGAAAAGCTGGATCCAGCAGGCAGCGATCAGAGCGCCAACTTCTTTTCCTGTTTCCACAAATACTTCATCTGCCGCTCTGCTGCTCGTTCCGTCAGAGTCGTCGGCTCGACACCTGACACCTCCTGCACTTTGCCGTTTTTACGCCTTACTGATATCAACTCCTGCTCCGTCTTTGTTCATTCTAACTTCGTCTCGTGCTGTGAAAAGCTGCTTCTCTTCACCTTTTGTCAGGCAGGACTGATTCTGGTGTGAATGTCAGAGCTAATGGAGAGCGTAGGAATTCATTAAGAGAGCCTCCTAAACCCATTTCATGCAGCTGTCCAAATTTAATTAAGTTTGATATCGGGTCCTGTGGATTGTGTGTTTGTAAAGTGGTGACGCACTAATCCGACCTAATCTGCTCCTCTCAGATGGAAAGGTTGGTTCCTCCCCGGAGCCTCTGCATTTCCTCTCCACAGCACCCTCCCAGGACCAACTAGTCTTTTAGCTTAATTTAATTTGGCGTTCACCTCTCCTCCTCCTCCTCCTCCTCCTCCTCCTCCACCGCCGCTGCTGCTGCTCCTGCAGTCATTGTGTTTTTGTGAAGGGGATGAATGTCTATAAGCAAAAGAAAACATTGCTGCACCGGGAGCTGTGTGGGTTTTTAATGTCAGAGTGTTATTGCAGTTTTTGGAAGTTTTTCTTATCACAAACTAGAAAACTTTGACTCAGAGACTAAAAACAGAATCAATGTCGGCATTTTGGAGCAGATTTCTACCTTAAGGGGCTCATGAGGAGCTTGTTTTTATAATGTTTAAATTATTTCATTGCATATTCTTTTTATTTACAAGCTGTTGATTCTCTCACAAACATGAGACACAGTATTTTAATAATTCATAATAGATTTAACAAGGTCATCCCAACAGGAGGTTCATTATATGGTGACCATATTTTCATACCTCCAAACTGAAAACCTCAATGTACATGCACCATGTCTGTCTTAATGAGGATGGGGGACAATTAAAGACCCTAGCATGGTGACACTCAACATACAAAACATAATTCAATCCCAATATTTAATAGTTTTTGATTATGATTTGAAATATTAAAACCAGACGTGGTAATAAATGAAGAGCCAACTCACTTCATCTTTCAACACTATGGACTCCATGAACCAGTATCTCTGTTACCCAGCAGGCACAGCTGGAGCTGATGGCGCCCACTCTCGGCAATGCTTGAGATTCCACCAGAAGCCCCGCGTCCCGAAAGCGTCAAATACAACCCAGATTTATTTTTAACAGAAGCCATGACCCAGGGGCGGACTGGCCATCTGTGTGATCTGGAGAATCCACCACGCAGTCATCACCTGTTTTTTTCCCCCTGCTAATCTACTGTTTCACACTCCAGTACGGTATTTGGCAGCAATGCAATTAAGGAGAAGAAGAAGAGGAAGTGGAAGAAGAAATAGTAGCAGCAGCAAAGACGTTCAGGACCATAGAAACAATATGGATAACGCTGGTAAAGAACGGAAAGAAAAGGGCGGGGCTGAGAAGGCGAGGGGGGAAAAAATGCGACATTTAGAGAGTGAAGCCGCTAAACTAACTGACATGTTCAGCAGCACAGCCAGCAGCAGCACCACTGGAGCACAAGTTCAGTTTAATATTAGCAGCATCCCATTGAGTGAGGAGTTGATGCTAGCCCCATGCTTCACCTGGACGTGAATACTGGAACAGCCCACAACATAGATATTATTCAGATACTCGACGGGATCAGAAATGACTTTTCCACAAAGATTGATGTGGTCCTGAAAGCGATTCAGAACGTTAAAAGGGACGTGCAGGATGAGGCAGAAGTGCGCATCAGCAGCGTAGAGGACACCGTTAACTCAGAGAAAGGCAAGTCTGAGGCACTAGTTAAGCAAGTGACTCTCCTCACGAACAAACTTGACGAGCTCGAAAACCGTTCTTGTCGATCCAACCTGCAACTAGTTAACGTGCCGGAGAATATGGAAGGAAATGATGCAGTGGCTTTTCTGGAGAAGTGGCTCCCCGAAGCGCTGGGCCCAGCGACATTCCCGAGACAACCTCTCATCGAAAGAGTGCAGAGGTTGCCCGGCCGGACACAACCTGATCTATCAACCATACCGAGAGTCCTCATAGTGAAGTTTGTAAAGTTATCTGCGGTGGTTAAGAGATCATGTGAGATCATCTTTCGTCGGATCTCCCCCGACGAAGGAGGGTTTTTGACCGGGTAAAACAACAACTGAGAGTGATGAACATACGTTACGGATTCATTTACCCAACTAAACTACGAGTGTCGTCTGATGGACAAACACGTGAGTTTGAAACCCCAGCAGATGCTGAAAAATTCAAAGTTTACAGAAGACAGAGGACTCACAGATTAACTAATGTGAACTGTTGAATCCTTTATTATCCGCCTATAACAGATATAGGTTGAAATTGCTGGCTTTACGGGCCAGTAACACACGTGAGGAGAATTTTATTTTATTTTATTTATTTTTTTTGCAGTTTTATTTTTTGCGGAGACTTTGGTGGTTATTCACCATACTGTCGGCTTTCCTGGATGAGAGTTAAGCTGCAAGAATGTTTATGATGAACATTTTATATATACTTGTTTGTGTAGATTATATACTTTTGCCAGGGGACAATTGTCCTGTTAGTTTTGTTTTGTTCTGTTATAATGACTGCTCGGTTTGGTCTAGCTGCTCCCTTGTTTACATTGGATCAGTGTGCGCAATTAGCTGCACCCCAAGGTCAGGGGGAGGGTGGGGTAGGGCGAGGGGCTGTCCTGTTCAGGTTGACAGCTAAGGGGATTCGTTTATGGCAGATTTTAAGTTTTTTGTTTGTGTTTTTGTATTTTTCCCAACATGTTGCATTTTGCTGGTGTACTCCCAATACAACACACAGAGATACTCATAAGGTTTACCAACAGCTAAAATTTTAAATGTACTTCTTGGAATGTGAGAGGAATGGTAAAGTTGGCTAAACTAAAACAGGTTATTACCAGGCTTAAACAACTTAAGTCATCAATAGTGTTTATCCAAGAGACTCATTTACTCAGAGAGGACCTGGTGAAAGTATGTAGGAGATGGCCAACACTATTTATGATAAAGCTGGTAGATTTTTGGTGGTTCAAGGAACTCTCTTGAAAGAAAATATCAATTTGGTTAATGTATATGGCCCCAATGATGATAACCCATCATTTTTTGAGAATTTATTTCTGTTGATGGCCACCCTTCCTGGTAAGATAATATTGGCAGGTGACTTAAACTGTGCTTTAGACCCGAAGCTTGATCGCTCGTCAGGGATGGATACATCCCATTCTCAAACAAGAAAGAAAATACAACAATCTAAGCTTTTAAAGCATATTTTAGAGGACAAATCATTAGCTTCACCAGCTCTAAATTTAACAAATTCAAACAAACAATGAATGAATTAGACACTAAAATTAGAGAATTAGAAAGAGAAGTTATCATAGATGATTCAACACAAAAAAAAACAGAATTACTGACCCTTAAGGCTAAATACGAGGAGCTTTCTATGCTTAAGGCTGAAGATGGTCTAATAAGATTGAAACAAACTTTTTATGATCAGGGTGAAAAGTCGGGTGAACTGCTAGCTTGGCAGATAAAGAAACTTGAATTTGACAGAGCCATTAATATAATTAGGAACAAACAAGGAGAATTATCTACGGATCCCACAGAAATTAATAGCACCTTTGTCTCATATTATAAAACCCTTTATAAATCTG